AATCTAGCGTAACTAAGTCCCCCGAATCCATAATTTCTGGTTCATACAAGAAAAGTAAAGCTCCCAATACATTACTTGATTTTTTAATCAAACTCACCAAAAAAATATATTACTAATGACTCCAAAATGAAAATGACTTGCATATTAGATATTAAACCTAAGTTGCGAATTGATATGGGCTTAGAAGAGCCCAAGTTATGTGTAAGCTTAGCAATCCATTAGCCAACCCCTAGGTGGTGCACACTTGGGAGGAAAAATTGTCCAAAAAATCATAAACCTATTACACTGTTGCCAATTTAGTACTAAATCTTTCAATTTTACCAATTGAGACATAAACATTTTCTCATTTTGTCAATTGATTCCATCCGACTAATTTTGACCAAAAATTGATGACGTAGTCTCCAGTGGTCCTACATGGCACAATCGGCGACAACCGGCACTAGGTGAAGGAGTCGCGACCCTCTCCGGCTCTCAGCAAGGGCAATGATGCCCTCGCGGCCCTTGCGGGCCTCGCCCAAATCCGACGAGGGCTGCGACTCCCTCGCCAAACTTGGCCAAGCGAGGGCACCGTGGCCCTCGCCATCTCCAGGCAAGGAAGTCGCAACTCTCATGGGGTCTGGGCGAAGGTCGCAACTCCCTTGCCCAATCTAGGTGAGGCCGCGACACCCTTGCCTAGTGCCAACGAGGGTCACCAGCGACCCCACTTGCCATCGTCGCCACCACACTTGCAATGGGCGGCAGCCACAGGCAGATCCTAGACTTCCATTTTTTCTTTTAACTTTAGCCTTTTTTACTTTTTTTTTTTATTTTTTTAAGGACATAAAAGGGAAAAAGAAAAAAAATCAAAAAAATTAAAAGACAAAAATGCTCTTGACAATGTGAGGTCAGACCCTTCTTTGAGATTGAGATGGCCATGTCAAACCCTTATTTGAAACAATGTTTACTTCATGCCCTTATTTGAGAAAATAAAAGCACTTCAAGCCCTTATTTGAAATTTTCTCATATTAAAATGTTCACGTCAATGTCGGCCGTGCCACATAGGACTGCCAGCGACCATGTCATCAATTTCATGTCAAAATTGACCGGATGGACTCAATTGACAAAACATGAAAAATTTTAGAACTCAATTGACAAAATTAAAATACTTACGACTGAATTGGCAAAAATGCAATTTAATTTAAGACTTTTTGGACAATTTTCCCCCTTCGGATGGATCATGACAATAGACAACAAATCAATTTATAAATTTGAATTGTTAAATCACTAGCTTAAATGCTCATTTATTTTTGTGGTGCTTAGTACAACAATTTTGAAGGGCGGTCTTAATGCCCTTGGCACCATCGTGACATAATGCTTGGATCAATTATTCCTAGCTAAGCTCGTCATTAATGGAAATGAAGACCAAGAGAGTTCGATTTCTATTTCCCATTAAGGGAACCTCTTACTCCCACGATAGCGTGGATTGCCAGCTTTTAAGTAAAATTAGAGAGATAAGCACATACTTGAAATTCTTTCAAGTTTAGAAACTTATATAAGATACTTCTATATTATTCGATGCTTGCTTTTCGATATGAGAAGTTATAAACCACGTGGGACATTGATTATTACTAAGGAAATCTTCCACCTACTTAGTAACTTTTCAAAGAGCAAAGTTAGGTAAAATGTGTCAAAAAAAGTCCTAAACCTAATTTATTTGTGTCAATTTACTCCTAAACATTTTTCTGTGCCTATTTAGTCCTAAACATTTTGATATAGTACAAATTCAGTATTTCCGACTAATTTTGGCCGGATATTGCTGACGTGGACACCGACCAGCTTATGTGGCATGGTCAGCGCTAATGTGGATAATTTTTAATAATATTTTAATAATTTTTAAATTTTTATTTCTTTTTTGTTTTTCTTTTCTTTTTCATTTCTTTCTTTTCTTTCTTTTTTTTTTCGTCCCCTCCTTTCTTCCTCCGGCCGGTCGCCGGATCTCGACGACCGGCTAGAGGCCAGGGCCGGCGAGGTCTTGCTGGCCTCTAGCGAGGGCAAGACTGACCTCGCGGCAACCCTCGCTAGCCAGAGGAAGAAGGGAAGGGAGGAACAAAAGAAAAATAAATCAAAATTCAAAAAAAAATTAAAATATTATTAAAAGTTGTCTATGTCAACGCCGGCCGTGTCACATCAACCGGCCGGCATCCACATCAGTAATATCTAGCTAAAATTAGTCGGAATTGATGTAGCTAGCAAGGATCACCTAGAGGGGGGGTGAATAGGTGATCTTAAACAATTTTTATCAATTTATGCGGAAATGAAAGATCACAGTTGAGTCTGAATAAAATTCAGATTCAAGACAATTTATATAGACAGTGCTCTTGATGTGCAGTATGTAAAGTAAGAGTTAAGGGATAGAAAAACTGCACACAAGTTTATAGTGGTTCGACTTTATAGCAAGCCTACGTCCACTCTCCCACGCCGACGTACCTCTACCGCTGGATTCCACTAATCAAATCAATGAGAAGTTACAGCAAGTTGTGTCGCTTAAACCCAAGCACTTCTCCCGAAGCCGGTGTCTTGCTTATACCAAGCCGATAGATCACACTATCTCACACCTAAGCACACACTTATAACACTGTCTACACCTCTCAAATGATTACACGTTTAAGCTCACGAAAGACAAGAGATTGAATCGGAGTATGCTCAGACTTTGGACTTGTTGATTCTTGATTTTGTTCTCTACCTTCTGCTCCTCGTTGATCTCCTTTTATACTCCTCCACTTCCAAACTAGCCGTTGGACAGTCTTCAGAGGATCATCTTCCAATATTCACCTTTGGACAAATTTGTATAAAATGGATTGAGTAGCCGTTGGTTGATAAAATCTGAATCCCGCTGATTCTGGTCGCCCATACAATCAGAATCTTGGTTTCCATAAGTAGAGCTTTGTCCGTGGTAATGCATTCTTGTCGTGATGTTTGATTGTCAATCAATTTGATTCAGATTGAGACAATCAGAACATTCCTTCTGTGAAATCCATACCGGATCACTAGCTGTTATGTTTCGTTCTGAATTCTGCGTCTGAATAATTTTAACGTCTGCGTCTGAATAATTTCAACTCCTGCGTCTGAAGAATTTCTGCGTCCGAAGAAATTCTGTGTTTGAACTTTCTCGTTCTGAGTCTGAACTTCTCGTTCTGAGTCTGAATCTCTTTTGCTTGAAGTTCTTTCACAATCTGAACACGAACTAGATCAAGATTGACATATGCTTTTCTTCCAAAAACAACTTCCTGAATCAAAATACTTCAAAGCATTTATCAGACTTACAAAACACTCATGGACAGTTTTGTCAACTTCAAAATCTATTGGGAATTTTCCTTAACAGGAATGACTAAATTGGTATTATATCAAAGGGTTTATAACTAAATTGACACCAATGCAATAGGTTTAGGATTTTTCTTACACTTATCCTGCAAAGTTAGTATTAAAATATCAAGCAATTAAACAAAATTATCATGATTAGTAACTTTACTTTTCGTAATATAAGTATGTTCCGAACAACAATTGCAGGCAAGGTTTTCATTTTATTAGCAATTTTCAAAGAAGTCAAATAACTTGAACACTAAGAAATTAATTAACTCTCAAACAAAATTTGTAACTTTTCATATTACTACTTTTACTACTTTTAAAGGACTCTCAACCTAAATTACCTACAAGTTATAAAATATCGAACTTAAGTAAATTCATGGGCTATTTTAGCCATTTGGCACTTAAAATTGAAAACCATCATTAACCACCACCCCTTACTATCTAAACATAGTCAGTCCATTGTCAAACAAAATACTAAACATATGCACGGACAGACCAAGAAGAAGGAATTTTCATTATTTTTAAATGGGATAAGTGCACTACAAGTCCTAAAACTTGTCACAAAAGTCAATTTGAGTCCTAAAACTTACAAAAAGTGCAATTTAGTCCTAAAACTTGTCAAATTGATTCAATCGAGTCCTAAACTTAACATCGTTAAATTTACTAACGGAAAACGCTGACGTGGCGCTGACGTGTCATATTTTATTACTTTTATTGGGGACACGTGGCAATGATGTGGCGTCCAATAAGCGCCACGTCAGCAAAAATAAAAATAAAAATTAAATTAGAAAAAAGCTATAAAAAAAAAAGATACCCCAACCGGCAGCTGCGGCGGTGGCCAAGCCCTCGCCGGTGGCCGCCGCCACAGCTGCCGGGAAGGGCCGGCGGAGGTCGCCCGGGCCTTCCCGAAGCCCGGCGACCCTCGCCAGCCCTGAGTGAGGCCCCATCGGTCCCCGGCGACGGTATGAAGCCCTCGATCTGGGGGAGGGCGCGACCCTCGCCTCAGATCTGAGCGAGGGTCGCCTGGGCCCGGCGAGGCCTCGCCTGGGGTCGCCCACCCTGGGCAAGGCCTCACCGGTCCGCACCGGTCTCAGGCGAGGGTCGGCAACCCTCGCTCAAATCTGGGGCGAGGGTCGCGCCCTCCCCCAGATTGGGGGCTGTAGGCCCTCGCCGGGGACTTGCCCGGGGCCGGCGAGGGTCGCCGGGCTTCGGGAAGGCCCAGCGACCTTCGCGCTCCTTCCCGGCGGTGGGCGGTGGCCACCTGGGCGAGGGCTTGGCCACCGCCGCAGCTGCTGGTTTAGGGTTTTTTTTTCCTTTTTTTTGTTTTTTTTGTTTTTTTTATAGCTTTTTCTAATTTAATTTACATTTTATTTATTTTTTCTGATGTGGCGCTTGTTGGACGCCACGTGTCTCAATAAAAGTATTAAAATATGACACGTCAGCGCCATGTCAGTGTTTTCCGTTAGTAAATTTAACGGTGTTAAGTTTATGACTTGATTGAATCAATTTGACAAGTTTTAGGACTCAATTACACTTTTTGTAAATTTTAGAACTCAAATGCACTTTTGTGACAAGTTTTAGGACTTGTAGTGCACTTATCCCTTTTTAAATTTAATAGGCATCAATGGCTCAATTTGACATTGTGCGCATTGAGTCCAGAACCAAGTAATTAAACCACAAATAACCTTTACACAGTCACTACCAGCGATGGCCACGGGCCCAGGCATGGCCCGTGAAGGCCCAGCACCATTATGTGCTGTGCCGGCCCACGTGCCCGGCCAATGAAAAGAGATAACAAGTAATTTACAGGAACTGATGAGCCCTGCTGCAGTAAGACAACTTTGAGGAAGACATCGTCTAATTCTGAACAAAAATTCGAGAAACAATTAAAGTAAGGTGATTAACATATTAGGAGAACATAAACACGAATCTTCCTAAAACTCTCTTGCACGGTATCAGTGTCAAGCTAATCTCTTGCGCAGAGAGATCAGAGAGCAGAGAGCAGGTAATCCTCATCTCTAATGGCAGGAAATGGCGCAGGTAAAACATGAAGTCGGTCAACTCCAATCCCCTCAGTAGCATCCTAGTCCACAAACAAATAACGTGTCATTCTACTATCGTGCAAGACAAAGAGTCCTTAGAAGAGTATCGAAGGAATCAGGACTTATGGTGCTTCCTTAGTGAAACTAACAGGGCTAGACTGAAGATGTTTCTGAGAATTTTCTCAACAAAATCAATGTGAATTACCTTTCTGTCATGCTAATGCAGGAATTTGCAAGACAAGAGTGCTTTCAGACGCTGCATGTTTGGATCCAGCAGCAAAATGCTCAAAGGTTTGAATTACAGGAGTCAGCTAAGAGTGAAGTTGCTTCAGAGGTTATGAAGATGGAAATAAGTTTTATTCCATTTTCATTCAATTTCTACTTGGAAAGCTATCCCAAAAGCTAAACCAAATCTCATTCAATCTCTAAGAAGCAGTGCATGTCTCCTTAACTCCCCTTGACCTCTGAATGGTCACCACATATTTATGAAAAACAATATGTAGAAGTGATATATGATTCATCATCTTGAAGGTTTATGAATTTCAGCAACTTTAAGTATCCTTTCTATTACAATAAGAGTGTTGTCTTTAGATAATGTAGTAAAACAACAGCGAAACCAGCCTGGTTCTATGGAATGCATGCCGAACCAGGTGTCACGTTGACTTTTGCAACATTCAGAAGCTTGTCTACAACTCAAGCTCCTGTGAGAGCAGATAAGTCCGCTCATATCCACCCAACAATACAAACCACCACTAATCTCCATATACTTGACACCTCCTTCTCTCAGGCCACCCGCAAATAAATCATACATCTCCCTTATCCTCTTTCTATGTGTTTCTACGAATGAGTAACCTCTGAGTGGGCGCAGAGACAGAAGAATTTGGTTAAATTTTTTGCAGCAGCCAAAACAATGTCATTATATGAATATATAACTGCAACTCTATTTTCTGCATTTCTTTCTTGTGTCTACATAAAAAAACCTTGCTAGACAGAGATCAGACCCTATATTATGTGAACCGTATTCTTGTCACTGTTTTCATTAATTTGTTCATTGATAAATTTCACCTGTTTTCACCGAGACCATCACATACAAAAATCTTTGGCCAACAAGTTAAGCTGAGAGCTGTTGGACCTTCTACCTTATCCCCAGCAACTTCTTAATCTGCGACGTGAATAACCAATTCGTACAATCAATTTCTTTTTTATCGATATGTTCAATCTTGGGACAAAACGGACTCGGAAAGACAGGACATACCAGTTTTGTTGAAATATGCAAACTCTCCAAATCCTTAAGCTGAAATTAAATATAAAAAAAAAAGATATGACGATGTGCAAGCACAAATTTCAGAATGAACTTTTGCGACGTGGTACTTACCTCCCGAAATGGCTTGTGATTTTGTTCGCGGTATTCAATAATCTCGGTAGCCTTCTTCTCTCCAATTCTCTGCAATGGATTAACAAGTCCAGTTCATGCAATTGTTATTCGATCAAACATTTTCCATAGAATAGCTCCTTACCATTATTCCCATTAGTTCCTCCCTGACAAAGATTGAAACAATGGTGATCAAAAAGGGTCTGAAATGGGTGAAAAACAAATTTGTTCCTAATAGTTACTCACCTGCTACCAGTGTTAAAAATCTCCAAATATTCCCGAATGACTGCAAACTGCAAGAAAAATTGTGAAAAGTGAATCAGCAAAACAAAAATCCAGTATTTAAATAGCTCTTTACTTTGCAGTATTGGAGAGAACTGGCATGTGACCTTTGATCCACCGTATGTTTTCCCAACTTCTCTTCTCTCATCCTTCTCCAGAAGCATCTGATATTTTTTTGATAATGCTTTAAATCTCGCAATAATTTCATCGATGGAAGTTTGCTGATGATAAAGGAATCGAACTAAATATAAAGAAAATAAGAATTCAATCACCTCCTTCATAGGCAAGGACAGAACATCCGGTGCCACAGCTGTTGCAGCACCCAATGTGTTCTTTGCAGCACCACCAGAAGCATCCAACCCTCTCCGACCTATATGACATAAAATAATAAAGCTGAGCTACATAGTGCGCACAAGAAAATGTTTGACCCTAATAGAAGATTTTGGGAAGAGCAACAGTCATAAGCCTGTTCTCCACATATGTTGAGAAATTACTATCGGCCCTAGGAGAGGAGGTTTAGAAAAGAAGACTGTTAACCTTGTTCTTATTCCTTTGGTCAATCAAGCAAACTTGAAAAAGTATCCACCAATTGCAGGAATACGCCATTCTATCAGGTTGGAAGTGCCCCTCAATCAATCACTAACCAAACAATATGAGAAGTTCAAGCAGTCTGAGAGGTGTCTGAAATACTTTAAAGTAAATTCATGCGAATAGGTATCTTTGTCAATGTACAGTGAGTTGCAGTGTTTCTATGAAATCCCAATCCCCATATTGAATGCAAGACTTCTATAAAGAGGCCATTCATGCCCCAACCTAGACACTGAAGATAAATCACAACAAATGGCAAGAAATATATCTATTTGCAGATGGAAGGACCTTACCAGCTGAAAAAGCTGCAAAGCCATCATCTTGTTCTTTCTCCTGCCGCAGAATATTAGGCAGGGAATATGCCTAATATTGAAGGAAAGTGACTTTCAGTAAAGCAAGGACATGTCAGGGAAACTGTACTTGCTTCCAGAAAAAATCAAAAAGCGACAATAAAATCAGGTAAGAAAAATGTTAAAAAGAGCTGACAAAAGAAATAAATCTGAGAATTACATATGACGGAAGTTGGCTCCTTATCATCTTCATACCTTAAGAGTCACTTCCACTTAAACATTACCACCTTTCTAAATCCAGAGAACTTCAAACCCCACTCCCAATGGAAAAAAGAAAAGAAAAGGGGAACAAACAAAGAAGGAAGGATATTGCAAAGGTACATGAGTTGGCAAGTCCCTTACACACTATTAGGCGTGAGCTAGCAAATCACTTTTCATAATGAAATTAGATGAATACCATGGTGTTAGACAACGTGAGATGGCGTGGATCAAGGGGGCCAACTCTGCTTAGTAAGAAAAATTGCATTTGCTGTATACTTACATAAAGGCCAAAGCTTTGGATACATTTAACGTTCTTTTGGAATCACCATAGTTCATCATTAAATGACAAAAACAGATTTTATTTGTTGATATCATTGTCATTTACTGGTTAGACAATGAGATACCAAATAATTTGGTGGAGCAACTGACACACATATTTTACTTGCATCAAATTAGCCTATCTAGTATGGCATAGCTTGATTCAATTTTAGTCCAGCTGTTTTGAAAGCTACTGTTGTGAGTCTGTCTATCATTCATAGACATGACACATCCTGCCTATCCTTTCTTTACCTTCAAAATACGACTACAGCCATGAATGGCATGTTTGGTAAAGATTATGATAGCACTGCCTTTCAACACAATCTATAACAAAGACCCCACCATAGCCACCAGGTTTGAGCATTTGGCCAGATCCCTGTACTTTTTCAAGATGACTCCACATGCAAGAAAAGAAGTCACTCTCTCATATGAAGGTACTGTGCTCAGATTTACAGTCAGTACATGGTCGAGAAGCCTTTCAAAGTGTTTTTTAAGTTGCTATTTCTTATTCAATATTTACTGATGCCACTGAACAGCTAAGACCCGGGCTCTTAACTGCTAGTCAAGGGTCAAAGACTAGTCAAGAAATCTTCCAACTTTAAAACATAAAATGCAGCTTGTTGAATATTGAATTTTCCTTGAATTATCTAGAAATATTGTAAAGAATATGCCACATAAAGTTGATATAAAGAAGATTATATGTGAATTTTCTTCAGGTAGACATTCACAATGGTTTCCAGAATCATGTCACTTTAAGTCTCTGTTTCCCTCCTATGCAAGATGCCTCTATCTTTCAGCTAGATGTAGTGCAGAATATGTAAGAAAATGTAGAAGACAATGTCAGTTACTGTATCTAGAGAGCAAAAAGCTAACTGATTGAAAATTGGATTGGCTAGTCAATACAAAAGGAAATACCTCCACAAGTGTCTCGCGCGAAAGATTACCAGGGCACCATGTATGCCGCCTCCTACACTGCTTACACAAGAAGGAAAATCTCAATCAAAGCAAGAAAAACAGTGTTAATGAACTGCAACAAGAACTTTTAAGTTGCAATGAGCTATTACAATTTTCGTGGAGGTACTCCACTTTATTGGCTGGGCAAGACAAGAGTGTGGAGCATGTTTCACTTTAAACTTCAAAGGTCCACAACTAAGTAATACATGAACGGTGGACGCCTATCTTATAGAAATATCAAATTCAACTGACTAAAATAAGCCAGATGAGAGTTGGAATCTATATTAAAAGGCCAGGTACATTTACATCCACAACAATATCATAATTCATACTTAGCGACTGTTTTATTGTGCTAATCTATCTTCCAAAGGCAAGTGGTCTTCACACCATTACTGCACTATTCATGCCTGAAGCACTAGCTTAACTATCAAAGTGATAGAAAGATGTAAAGAGGAAATTATTCACCAAAGCAAAGCTAACAAGGAAACGTAGGTCCATAGAACATCAATAAAATGAAGTTGTAATCCTCATCGGCACTTAATATAGCATATAACAAGCCAAGCATAACACTGCCCAGCTACAATGAGGACAAGCCATTAAAGTATGCATTTATATCTGTATTATCACCAAAAACTTCTTTTGGTTATTTGAGAAAGAACAGCACTATGCATGACTAGCTTGTTGCTTCACCACAGAGCAGCAGAAACAACATAGGCATGGCATACATAGCTATGTAATTAAAATTGTGAGCCAATATGCATAATTTTTATGAGGATGTCCTTTCAGCTACTATGAGACAGATTGCCAATGTGGACGGAGCTAAAGAAGCAATGAAAAGGGTGTCAATAACTCTCTATGAAGTGCATATATTTTGCAAAACATGCCAAGTCAACTATAGGCTGATTTAAATAAATCACTCAAAGCCTTCATGGAGTAGCTCAAATACAACTACAAAATTTTATAAGTACCAGCGAGCTACCAAAATAAAATATGCGACATGGAAAATTCAAAGGATTTGCAATATGCCAGAATGCCACTTATACAATACCTTTTCGAAATTATGTCGATTATCCTCCCTGTTTGAGTACAACACGATGGAGCTCAAGTTTTCAATTTTTTTGGCTTGCTCTTGTAAATGTCTCTCACATTCAGCTTGGGCTTTCTTTTCCACCTCCAACTCCAGAGTGATTCGCTCCCTCTCCAGCTCACTCTATAAAAGAAATTTTAGCAATTTCCAAAATACACTCCCAGTTTACAAGGACATATAATACAAAATAAGCAGCAACACAACACTAAACCTGATGTAATGCATTTTGCAAGTTTAAGATCTTTTCTGAATGCTCAGAATGTGAACCCTGAAGAAAATCGGTATGGTAGCATCAGAAGATGGATTTCTAAATAAGCCATTGCAAATAAGTGCATACGATCTATCTTAGTTATGACAAATAAGTAAACCTGCAATTTGGCTTTAAGCTCTTCAATTTCCTTCTGCTGCCGCTTTAGCAGAACAGCATCTGTCAAAATCTGCCACATATAAAAGATCAAAAATAAGCAACAAAGGCAATTCTTTTGGTTTATTTACTAAGCAGTTTATAGAGAAGCTATATACAGCACATCAAAAGGGAAACAATGCCAACTTCAATAGACCACATTAAATGAAGGCAAAAAAGGCTACAAGTGGAAAGGAAACCAATGGCTTAGTAGGATCACCACCTCATTCACGTGGGCACAACTTTTAATACGAAGTGCTCTACTTGCAAACTTGAGACTGCTTTTAGTTTCATCTGCATGGCTCTGCAATAAAGAAATTGATATGACACAGGACGGACGTGTACAAGCTGCAATTATTTCCACAAAAATTTATATGCAGCAAGTATTGTTAAGAAATTAGACTCGTGTTCATGTAAGAGTTGATTTAGCTGCCACATAGTAAAATATCACCTTGTGTATCAACTAATATTATTTCAATTGGTGCAAGTAGAATTAGACCAATAATGTATAGTGGTCTAAGGGATCCAATGAGTACCCTTGGCAGCTTACACAGTGACGATGCATGCCATGAAAACTTCTGTTCATAGGTACTTCAACATGAAAGGCTCCACAAAGGTCCCCATGCAGGAAACTTGAGGGAGTTAATAACAAAAAACTCATGCATTGCATGAGTTGCATGACTTTAATGATTTATTTACAATTAGGAGGTTTAAAAACTGCATCCTAAGGAACAGTCATGACATCCTTTCAAAATATCCAATATGATGATGAACTAGAGTTTTATGCGGTAGAACAATAAGCCCACCAAGGAACCGGCTGGCACTTGATCAGGTCAAAATGTAACATGTAAACTATTTGCCTGTATTCAAACAAAAAGCTAACTGGCAGCCAACATGCATTGTGAAGACCAGGTCTTGTGATACAAAGATCTCAACTGCAAAATGAGATTTTTATTTAGGAAAGAATATAGCATTCAAGTAATCAAGGGACTCAGATGCTAGCAGCCCCCAATAACACAACACCTAATGGCTAATCTAAGCTTTGCTCAAACACATTTAAATCCAGATTATGAATAAATCAGACCAATGCACGAACCAGCCAGACAAGGCCCAATTGCCTTCAGGCCAGCTGACTTGACCCCGTCATACCAAAAATTGGCTTCAAGAATATTTCAAAGCCAATAAGAGAGATAAAATTGGCAACTTTGAATCCAGTAACACAACCATCTAAAACTTTGGTACTGCATCCCACTCCAACAGAATGTATATTTATTGAGCTAGAATAAAAACATACTTGAACACAAAACGCAAGGTCAATGACTTTGTAAACCATAACCTGTGCAAGCGTGATATTGCAAATTATAGCTGTGTTTGAATTTCCACCAAGAGCAGGTTGCAAAATGCGTGTAAGTTTGCTGTCGCGAAATGGGACATGCCCCCTGCATCAAAAGTGAGAAATACAAAATCAAGAGCTATATATATAACAAAATGTACTCGCTGACTAATCTTTTAACTGAAACAGTTGGACACCTACCCCTGACTTTCGGCACCTGCACTCAGCTTCTTAATCACAGTTCTCAGGGTCATTAGACTTTTATTGATATGACACCCCTCTTTGAGACGGATACCCTCTACTTCAGTTTTTGCAGCACGTTCCCAACCGGCAAGGTCAACCAAGTTCTAAAATAGAAGATCATGAATAAAAAATGGGAAAGATAGATAAAATAGCACATATTGATAAAAGAAGTAAAACTTCACACCAGAACAGATATGCGGACAGCATCACTAGATTTGCCAGTTTTATCCCGAATCTCAATAAGCTGTCATTATTAAAGATGAGAAATTTGAAGATTAGATGGCAAAACAAGTGGAGTGGAAGGATTTTGCAAAACTTATGATACCAAAAAAAAAAAATGGAAAAGAAAGATTATGAACCTACCATGCGAAATATGGTGTGAGACCTACTGCTGCACACGTTCATATTTGTCTTTCCATTGTGCCGATGAGCTGAATAGTAAAAAAATAACAGTTACCAGGATGTCAAATAGGTTAGGACCCTTCCTTAAAAGCTTTGATAAAATCCACACCATAGAAATTACTCATTTCACTTTCAGAGAAAATAGTTTCGAAGGCATAAAAAGAATCTCGACAACTTAATATATCTACAAACTCATTTATAGAAGTGCAAAAGCAAAAGGTAATGATGGTATGAGAGATACCTTCTCCAAATTGCATAAGATTGAGGACTTCATCAGAAGATTTAACTTTTTCTTCACGTAGATCAGCAACATATATTCCCCGCTAAGCTTGCAAAGGTCATTCTCCCAATCAACTTTTAAGACCTAATAAAAGAAATAAACACAACTCTCTAGTACATACAAAATTCATACCTCCGGATTTTCATGAATTTGCAATTTCCGATGCTCAGGAGCCAGCAAGTCATGTATCTCCTCGTTATATATCTCCATATAAGACATTCGCAGCGAAAATTCAAGGTCCACTTCCTGAGTATTATGAGGACCGTAAGCGCAATGTAGAAAGATCATATTAGAACCTCAAGGAGCATGCATGTTTTCTTTATTTTCTTTCTCAGAACTTTCGACACAGTTTATTGGAAGAGAAAGAGGGTTGCATGAAAGAAAGTAATTCAAAGATTGGTGAAGGTAAACATATAAGGCTTTTAATATGCTCAAGAAAAGGGAAGTCGCCTATAGTTTACTGAAAGGATCCTACCTCTTCAAATATTCTTCCACAAGCCAAAGTTATGATGATAAGATTGAAGAACATACACCAAGATAAATCAAAGACAAACTGCATTTTCACTAAAAAAACTTCTAACCTAACTTTTCTTTATTTATATATAAAGAAGAGGATAATAGAAATACTAGTGAGCCTGTCAACAGTTTACCTATCACTCAATAAATTTTTGGTTAACATAGAACCAAATGCCAACAATGTTTACAGCATAATGACATGCAGCATACTCAGAGCACGAACTGGCTTTTTTCGATCCTTAAACTGCATACACAATAGTTTTCGAAATAGCTGGTCTTAACAGCAAGTACTCTGCAGTGGGTGTTGAGGACAGGTCGAGTCTGCGAGGCCTTCTTCTTCCCGAAAAAGCCTCACGGCGTATAGTAGTTTTAGCTAATAGAAAAGATGGATCAGCAGGCACTAAAGGGTAAGCTTATATCCGGAATTCAATTAGTTGAATAGGTAGAGGAGAGGTGAAGTAAAGATATCTAGAGCAATATAGACCGGGCCTGCTTCCCATTCATTCTTTTAGTTGGATGCTCTTCGGCTGGTCAATAGGGGCACGTCGCTTTCGCTTCTGTAATAGAGGCGCTATCAAAAGCGTGGCGCTCTAGTGGAATGATTTTCTTAGGTTATTGGTAATGTGTCAAATTTTTTTAGGAGCAAAGATCCTAGCCATAAATCAAGTCAAATAAAAACCAACCTGCAAATGTATACCTTGCATATGGAATCAAACAAATCGGAAACTGAAAGAGAAATGATCCCAGGCTCTCTCCTTGATCCCCGCATGGTATGTGTCTTTCCGCTGTTTGTTTGTCCATAAGCACAAACAGTTCCTAAAACCCAACAATATAGTATAAAACGAGAGCTCATTTAGATTTCAATACTCTATGCTACGTGCAGCTGCAACTTCAATACTTTCACTGAACTAACAGAAAGAATCCCTGTGAAAATGCTACAAATGGAGCCAACACAAAATGAACAGCACAACCCAAAGAAAAGAAAGCCGAGAGAGCTTGCCATTATATCCACGCAGGGCAGCCGCGATAATTTCTCTGATGCAAGATTCATAGACCTCCTGCGTCGTACAATCGTCTCTAAATATTCGATCTAAATTGACAAAAGTACAAAATAAAACAAGTTAGAGACGATCCGAATTCAAACGGTAGAGAAGACAGAGTGAACGGTAAGCAATACCAAACATGAATTTGTAAGGAAGATTGGTATTGGAAATGGAGTTGCCAGCGATCCTCCAGGGGCTGGTCTTTGCTTCTTCCGGCGAGAGTGGTCTTGGTCTGATGCTCACGTGTATATTCTCCATTGACTGCAGTTCAATGGGAGGACAGAGACAATGATCAATGTTAATACAGCAGTTCAACGGAAGGAGAGATAGAGTATGAATGTGTGAATGTAGCACTTGGAAGAGACAATGAACAGCATGCATGCTGCAGTTCAATGGGAAAGCCAGGCTCATGCTCGCGCGAAGGCACGCGCCGGAGCGTGTGACCCACGCGGCCGAGCGGCAGTTCAGGCGCGTGCCGTCCGTTATATACAAACAAGGAATATATATTGTGCCTTCCGTTATATACAAACAAGGAATATGTATTGAACGGAGTCTCAGGTAGCGAAGGGCGGGGGTTGAGAGTGGCTCACAGCGACAGAGATGGCTAGTAGCTTCCTAGACCAAAAAGGAGGGTGAAGTCAAGCTTCAAGCTTCTCGGCCAAAAAGGAGGTGGCGCGGGGACGGCCGACGGCGTTGACCGGCGATATGGACCGAAAAGTTATCTAAGGATTCCGACTACCGAGCTTCTGGCCTTGTCGCTCAGGTGCTCTCCTCCGGTGCGTCTTTGTGCGTTCTCCGGTGGAAAAGAAACAAAGAGGAGAAATGGTTCTCTCTTCCTTGTGTGACGAATGAGAATCTGCTTAATACCTTAGATGATGATGATGAGACGGAGAGGGGGAAAAAATCATCAGATTCTGTTCGTCGACCCCTTCATCATCCGCGTGATCTCAACTTCTGTTCGTCGGTATTAGGGCTTTCCGACCCGAAAAATTTGGGTGTATTCTGATCGGGTGTTCGGATAAACGGTAACAAAATAGACCGTGTGACGTGTCCCGGTGACCCGAACCGTCGCCCCAACTCCGATTTCAAGTGACCGCCCCAGACAGAGAAGAGAAAACAACCAACACTTTTAGCCTCGACATCGAACGATTCTCCAATCTCAGGCACGTTCCCCGTCAATTCCCATCTCTGGTTTTCCATTTCATCAACAGATGGTCGTCTAGAGCGATTCCATTTCTCGTTTTTGCCTTCTTGCTTTGGCATCTGATTTCGCATCTGCAACTCTACGAATTGTGCATTTGTTACAAGGTTGTATCTTGCTTCCCATGCACAACCCATTAGCAAAACCTCTTAGCTCAGACCGTCTCTGCAAAACCGATTTCTAGATTAAATTCTCTCAATGTTTCGCAGGTTTCCCATCCCGGGATCCCAGTAATACTCCTCTCGTGCAGATTCCGGCAGTCTCTTTGATGATCAAGTTTGCTCGTTTGTCTGTGATAATGTTTTCTTAATGTTGTTTCTAGAGTTTTCTGGTTTCATGGTGTACCGGGTGTTATAGAAAGCAGCTTGACTTATCGGGTCTTGTGATTTACTCTGGTCTCTGAGCTGAGAATGGAGAGAGCCCCACTCGCGATTTTCGTGCCATTCTGTTTTGATGAGCTTGTTCGTTAGGGAGGTGAGAACTAGTTTTGGCTTAAGGCCAATGGCAGAGGTGATCGATTTTGGTGTATCTTTCAGGGTAGTTAAATATCCTGCCGCCTAAGATGCACATCATTGTGCTGACGAAGCGTTATTTTGTGCTCTCTATGTTTATCTTGTCCTTTCTATTGCGGGTTTACCATTAGTACTTTTGTCAACAGTGAATAGGAAGCAAAGATGCACATCATTGTTGAGTGTCCCGTGTGCAAGCATCTTTCGCGGAACCTTCATCGTAGTTACAGTTTTTAAATTAAACATTTCCTGGTATGCAGGGGAGATGTATTTTCTTCTTCTTGCAACGACAGCCTTTAGTCTGGTAACTCTACTTTTGGCCACACTTCTTTTTAGATACATTCACAAGGGTACAGTTGATACTCCAACCGGCACAATAGAACGGAAATCAGCTCACAGCTTCTTTGTACATACACAGAGATTTTGTTGGCTTATAGAGTACATATTCCCACTCAGTCATGTCTGGGGAATGGCTTTTGACCCATTTGACTGCTTAAAATGATTTGCCCACTATAATCAGTTGTACATTGTCGAAGTGGAAGAGAGGAAGGATAGGAGGAGATGAAAAGAAAACAGCACTTACTCATTCACCTCACATGGACATTGGACATGGGCATAGACAGTGGAAAGTGGCTTGTTGGGTTCTTGATAGATTTTGGGCGTCATCAAGTGATCATGTGAGGAGGCATCAACCGAGAAAATAATCCAAAAAATTAGGAGTACTTTTGATATGGCTTCAGTTTAGTACATCCAAATGGTGTAAAACTTGTATCGTATACTTAAATACCAAAAGCTTGTCAGAAAGGAAATTGTATTAAGCAAACATCCTTACATTTGAGACCCACAGATGATGGCCAAATATTAGTTTAGTTCGCTCTTACATGTTGCTCATTAATTAGCTATATTTGCAGTAGTGACATCCACTTTCCTAACGGAAGTAGGACAAGATTCTTAGCATTTATAAAGAATATTATATCATGTAGGTTTCAATGAAGCCGGTATATCAAATGCAAATTTGCAACATCGCTGCATGAAAGCTTGCAAAACAGGTAGGGACCTCGGTGATATTATCGGGTTAATTATCGGGTCTTTCTGGTCCCTGAGCTGAGAATGGAGAGAGCCCCACTCGCGATTTTCGTGCCATTCTGTTTTGATGAGCTTGTTCATTAGGGAGGTGAGAACTAGTTTTGGCTTAAGGTTAATGGCGGAGGTGATCAATTTTGGTGTATCTTTCAGGGTAGCGAATATGCGAGTGGATACTGGATAGGTTAAATATCCTGCCGCCCATGATTTGCCTGTGTTCTCCTCAGCCGTGCCTCAAATCTTCTGCTTGACGAGGGTAATTCATTTCTTTATGGTGCATTGTGCTGACAAAGCGTTATTTTGTGCTCTCTATGTTTATCTTGTCCTTTCTATTGCGGGTTTACCATTAGTACTTTTGTCAACAGTGAATAGGAAGCAAAGATGCACATCATTGTTGAGTGTCCCGTGTGCAAGCATCTTTCGCAGAACCTTCATCGTAGTTACAGTTTTTAAACTAAACATTTCCTGGTATGCAGGGGAAATGTATATTCTTCGCCTTGCAACGACAGCCTTTAGTCTGGTAACTCTCCTTTTAGCCACACTTCTTTTTAGATACATTCACAAGGGTGCAGTTGATACTCCAACCTGCACAATAGAACGGAAATCAGCTCACGGCTTCTTTGTACATACACAGATTTTGTTGGCTTATAGTGCACATATTGCCATTCAGTCATGTCTGGGGTATAGCTTTTGACCCATTTGACTGCTCAAAATGATTTACCCACTATAACCAGTTGTACATTGTCGAAGTGGAAGAGAGGAAGGAGAGGAGGAGTTGAAAAGAAAACCGCACTTCCTCATTCACCTCACATTGGACATTGGACATGGGCATAGACAGTGGAAAGTGGCTTGTTGAGTTCTTGATAGATTTGGGCGTCATCAAGTGTTCCTGTGAGAAGGCATCAACTGAGAAAATAATCCAAAAAATTAGGAGTACTTTTGATATGGCTTCAGTTTAGAACATCCAAATGGTGTAAAACTTGTATCGTATACTTAAATACCAAAAGCTTGCCAGAAAGGAAATTGTATTAAGCAAACGTCCTTACATTTGAGACCCACAGATGATGGCCAAATATTAGTTTAGTTCGCTCTTACATGTCGCTCATTAATTAGCTATATTTGCAGTAGTGACATCCACTTTCCTAACTGAAGTAGGACAAGATTCTTAGCATTTATACAGAATATTATATCATGTAGGTTTCAATGAAGCCGGTATATCAAATGCAAATTTGCAACATCGCTGCATGAAAGCTTGCAAAACAGGTAGGGGCCTCAGTGATATGCAAAGCATCAGTATGAATTCTCTTCTATGTCGTGATTTTGTTGGAAACGGCACCTGAAATCACTCTATCAACAGGGAGTGTCTATTGGTCCAGAGGATGCTCTGTTCTCTTCTGTTTCAGCAGATGAATCTGGTATAACAGGACCCAAAATATACTGTCTTCATTCATTCAACTTTGAATGTTGTCGAACATCTCTGTTACCATTATGTCACGAGAGTCCACATAAGCAAGAACTAGAGCATGGCAGCACTGATCAAGGGCTCAGACTTATTCTCTTTCTTTGCTGCTCCAAGGTAATGAATTTTGCATATAGTTATAGTAGAAAGTGCAAACATTAACGCTCTTTTATGGGGAAAATTGGGATTTGTGGAGCAGATGAAGGGATTAGACTCTTAAGCGATATATCTACCATAAAATTTCCAAGGAACGTACCAGTGTCTCAAAAACCATTCTTGATCATAGTCTTCTGTTCTTTCCTTCTAAAATGTTGGTCAGGCTAGGACCTGAAATTTCTTCTTGTCCTGGGGCAGTGGGAGAATGTCTTCTTAAAAACTGAGCGACTGCCCTGCAATAATCCCAAGCAGTAAATTACAATAAGCACAAGTAAATCACTTACAATCGAAGAGTTAAACCTAACAGTCTAGCACTTAAGAAAAGGGATTCTAAAAATGATCCTACATCACTGAATGAATAAGGACTCATGGTCAAACCTTGTTCTGATTGACAACGGGTCAATTTCTCGCGATCTGCAGGATCCTACAATCAAGCATTCTTGGTCAGTTATAGACGTCTCACACATTAAGCCTTATATAACGGATAACAGTAGTAGAGCAAATCACATTACCAACCAGTGAAGTCTCCGACGCTTCCAGAAAATTAAAAGTCCTGCATATATATTGGCAACAGAATTAAAAACGTGTCAAAGCTCTCCACTACCCAAACTTACTAGGTAAAAGGAGTCAATGCATCAATGGGTGCTTCTCTTGATATTATTAAACAACTAAGGAAGCATTATGCTCTAGGCATTGAGTCAAAGACTCCAAGGTAGTAATGCCAAGTAGATAAGGCCAAATAAATACTACTCCAGGGAGAGAAACTCTAAGCTAGGGATAAGGGATTGTGGTTGGTAATGCAAAATAAGAAGAAGACTCTGCCAAAACGACTACTTATGAATGAACACAAGCAACTTTGATGCGTAGAAATTGTATGCATCTCTCAATTCAAAGTTTAGGTTAGGGAAAACGCAATACTATCTATATTTAGATAGTTAAACCATAACTGTGAATATTGGCCTTTTGTCGCCCTGAAAACAGTCATAACAAAGTTTATGAGGATCAAGTAAAACCAATTCGAATTAATCATTCCCAAGAAATTCCAGGTATCATATAATTAATGAGATGTTCTATCGAAGTAATCAGCCAGTTTGCAAAGGAATTAAAAAGACTTGAAGAAAACACAGAAAAGCAACCGAAGACCTGCTTCTGCAGCAGTCATCTCTGGAATATCCAAAAACCAAGTGCTCTCTTCGCCTTGATTTTCCTCTATCAATGTCAGTAGTGTTTCTGTGTCAGACCTGAAAGGACCAGTGGACATGGCAGCATCAGGTGTTGGCAGAACTCCAGTTCCTGCAATACTTCCCTGAGGGAGCTCCGGTGCTGATCCCAATCTTACTGATATAGGGATAAAGGTATCTCTTCGGGGAGTGGAGTCAAATGTCTCTTGGCGGAAGTGAAACAAAATCCAGAAAGTTGCTCCCAGTCTGGTCTTTGTCATGCCGAAGTGTTCAATTTTCATATCAAAAGCAGTCGCATTATCAGGAGATTGAGAAATCCCAAGACCAGGCAAAGCTTCAGTTGGGGGACCTGGGGTCTCTGAATCCACAGGCTTTGGAAGAACATCATCTTGGCCAACAAAATGTGGGTTTATTGATACATAATCCTTCTTGAATACATTATGAAGATCAATGCATATGCCTGCGTCAACGCATATAGTGTCATCCTCTAGTGGAGATTTCTCTACCTAGCACGAACAAAAAGCAGTAGACAACTTTTAGAGAGACAAATACCATTGAATAGGCGTTCCTGAAAACCCCACTCCTTCCTGAGGTGTTTATTTAACTTCCATAAACCAAAAGCAGAGCTAGGAATGTTCTTCCTCTTGTGCAGTATATTACTGGGATTGTCAAGAGCCCATTTCATAAAGCTGCAAATAAACATTTTCGAGTTACTTAAAGGCAACAAGCACATATGAGTCTGCTTATGAGTCTTGACTCATAACATTCCCTATTCCTCAACACTACACCTTTTATCAAACAATTGCTTCCTTTTCGTCACTGGTGGCCGCCGGACAGGTGGGCTTGATTGAATCGCCAATTCAGGTGCAAATACACGCAAAGAGCGCCGGCTATGGCAAATCTGAAAGGCATAAACTTAGTTCATGAACATAACAAAACTTCCATGTACAGTGGTAGGAGGTCCCACCAAAAAACACATGCTCATCTGGAGACACGGCAGCATCCTGCAGATCAGCTGAAGCAGCTGTTTCTGAATGCTGTTGAAATGGTAGAGATGACCGTCCAGAAGCCAAGGTATCTGGCACAGGAGGGGTGACAGTTCCCTTCTCCGTCATGATTTTGCTCAGATCTTGTTGGAAAGTTTCTATCATCTACATGATTTGTCATTGGAGGAAAGTTGTCAAAGCCAACATCATGAACTATATCGCGCATAACTTCTATTTCTGGCAAATCTGGCATGGGAATGTCACAATCAATCTTTCCCCTTGATCCAGGAGGAGAATCCTGGATGCCCTCCCTACGTACTTCTGGGGGACTACGATTAGGACCTTCAGAACGCCTACTACTTTCAAGACACGCATAGAAATCACATTACCATTGTATGATTAAAAAATTACAATATTTTTCCGCAAACTTCACAACATGGATGGAAAAAATATCTTATAAGGGGGAAAAGTGCCAAAAAAGTCCTAAACCTTTTGCATTAGTGCCAATTTAGTCCTAAACCTTTTTTGGTCCAATTCAGTCCTAAACCTTTGCATTGGTGCCAATTTAGTCCTGCCTTTTTTGGTGCATTAAGTCCTAAACCTTTTAAATTGGTGCCAATTCGTCCTAAACTTTTTGTTTTTGTGCCAATTTAGTCGCTTCCGGTCAATTTTGACGGAATTTGCTGACATGGACGGCTGCCGTCAGCCGGCGATCAGTCACCGACGCCGACGTGGCGCTGACGTGGACAAATTAAATAATATTTTAATATTTTTTGAATTTTTATTTTTTTCCTTTTTTTCTTTTTTTCCACTTTTTTTTTGGTCTTTCCCTCCTTCCTCTGGCCGGTCGCCGGTCCGGCGACCGGCCAGAGGCCAGAGGCCGGCGAGCTCGACCTCGCCGGCCACTGGCGAGGGCGGCCTCGCCCGGCGAGGGCGAGCCTCGCCATGGTCGGGCGAGGCCCGACCTCGCCGGATCTGGCGAGGTCGAGCCTCGCCCAGCCGCCGGCGAGGCCCGGCCTCGCCAGATCCGGCGAGGTCGGGCCTCCCCGACCATGGCGAGGCTCGCCCTCGCCGAGGCCTCCGGCGAGGGCTCGAGCCTCGCCACTTCGCCCGACCTCGCCCAGCCGCCGGCGAGGCCCGGCCTCGCCAGATCCGGCGAGGTCGGGCCTCCCCCGACCATGGCGAGGCTCGCCCTCGCCGCGGCCTCCGGCGAGGGCTCGAGCCTCGCCATGGTCGGGGAGGCCCGACCTCGCCGGATCTGGCGAGGTCGAGCCTCGCCCGACCAAGGCAAGGCTCGCCCTCGCCGGGCGAGTGGCCGGCGAGGTCGAGCTCGCCGGCCTCTGGCCTCTGGCCGGTCGCCGGACCGGCGACCGGCCAGAGGAAGGAGAAACCCAAAAAAAAAGTGGAAAAAAAAAGAAAAAAAAGGAAAAAATAAAAATTCAAAAAAATATTAAAATATTATTTAATTTGTCCACGTCAGCGCCACGTCGGCGCCGGTGACCGGTCGCCGGCCGGCAGCCGTCCACGTCAGCAAATTCCGGTCAAAATTGACCGGAAGGACTAAATTGGCACAAAAACAAAAGGTTTAGGACTGAATTGGCACCAATTTAAAAGGTTTAGGACTTAATTGGCACCAAAAAAAAGGTTTAGGACTAAATTGGCACCAATGCAAAAGGTTTAGGACTGAATTGGCACTAAAAAAAGGTTTAGGACTGAATTGGCACTAATGCAAAAGGTTTAGGACTTTTTTGGCACTAGGACACTTACTCCTCCGTAAAACTAACCACGGAAATAGCACCAGCGCGTGTTGTGACGAATCCAGCATATCCTATAACACAAGCCATCGTTGTTAGGTATCAGATGAATTACTTGATATTAAAGGACAAGCAACGACAAGTCACCCGAATGAAAAGATGATCAAGTGAGAGATTATAACCTCGTCAAAAGATATAACAATAAAAGGATCTCTTCCGGTTGGGATTTGCTCTAAGCACCAAAGCAGAATAGTACACAAATTCATGCGTTAAGTGTGTGAGCTTCAAGCCAAATGATTTGAAAACATTGTATTCGTTAAATTAAAAATCAGTCACCTATCAAAGTAATCTCCTCGCAGCTCCATAGAAGATCATCCTTGATCCTGAAATAATATTCGTAAAAGTACAATTGAAACAGAAAAAAACATGAATTTACAATCAGTAAAAGTGATTTTGTAATCCAAATTTGAATAACCTGATTTTTGCTTTTTATGATTGATTTTGAACATGTATACTAGCA